TGTGTGTGTGTGTGTGTGTGTGTGTGTGTGTGTGTGTGTGTCACATCGCTCCTTAAATTAGATCTCACACAAGTGAAACTCAGTGCTGGAGCAGAATGTGCCCCCTTCTCCCCTCTTTCTTTAGAGACAGCAGTGGGCAGTTATGTGTCTGGCATTTAACATAGTCCTTTCAGGCCCTTTTACAGGAGTGCAAACTAATGGTGGATGGAGAAAAGAGGATTTTTGATGACTATATACTCTTTATATGTATGTATACATGAAGAGATAAATAAATATGGGGCTAATTAATACCCAGGGATGAACTTAAAAATCTATTTTTAAGTTTTTCTAAAGCATCATCTCCACACTTTGTGTCCAGACCTTTCCCTTCCCTTGTCCATGTAAATTTAGGATGGCGTTGTTGTTTGACGTCATAGAAAACGTTACCTTCGGGAGGAAAAGCACAATACTGTGTGTTTTCATTTGGGTTTCCTAGCATGCGGACAGAGAGACAAGGATTTCTGTGTGAGTAGTTTATTTGAGGGGGGATTCCAGAAAGCACAAGGAGGTGGGGAGTGGGGAGGTGGGTCAGGGAGGGGAGGGAAGCTCATGCATGTTGTGAGCTGCTTATCACTGTGGGCAGCTGGGGTTCAATCCAGCACACACCCCAGAAGTGTTCCACTGAGGAGTGAGGGATGCTGGAGTATTTATTTACCCACCAACTTCTACTCCTGATTGATGGAAAGTAGCACTTGGAGCATGAACTCCCTGGCTCCTGGGGCCTGCCCCATGTGTGGGCTCAGCATGCTCCTGGGCCAGGTAGAGAGTTACAAAAAGCCTATGTTGTGAACAGGAATGTCTGCAGGGGTCCTCTTGGGGAGGGCAGAGGGGCTATGGGTGGGCTACCAGTGGCATCTTCTGCATTATGCATCTCCCTTCAGCGCTGCTCAAGGCCTAGGGGAGTTTCAAAGGGAGAGGAAGCCTAAAAGATAAAAGAGACTCATGTGCCCTTTTCTCCTCATTTGAATGTGTCTGGGTACCTCCATACCCCCTGGATAGCCTTCCCACCCTGATCATTGTCCCTGTGTAGTCTGCATGCTGCTCCATCCATGCACAGTTGCTTTCTCTTACCTTGAGCCAGGCTGGGGTGGCTTTTGCAGGAGTGACATGATCTGACATACACTTTAGTGAAGTCACTCTGGAGGCAAGTCTGGAGGCTGGTAGACCAGTTAGTGTGACTGGTGATGGTGGTCAGGACTAGGGAGGTATCTATAGGGACCGTGAAAAGTGGTAGGATTCTGAATTGATAGGATTTATTAATTGGTTTGGGTATAACGTATGATTGGAAAAAAACAATTATGGATGACTTCTAGTTTTGTTTTGTTTTGTTTGTCTTAAACAACTTGTAGAAGATGGTACTATTCCCAGACATGGGTAAGGCTGGTGGAAGAGTGGATATTTGTGTGTGTGTGTGTGTGTGTGGCATCAGTAGTTTTGTATTTTTGCCATATTAACTTGAGATGCCTTATGTGTCTTAGACAATTAGATGTGTGGGTTCTAAGCTCAAGAGAGAGGGCTCAGACTGGAGACATGAGTGTGAGATATATGGGTAGAGATGGCTGGCGGGCTGCTGAGCTGGTGGTGGGGGGACGGGCTGCTCTTACATGATTACATTGATTTTTCTCAGTGTGTGCATAGTGAGGTCCTCAGCTGAGATGGTGTTGGTAATGTGAGGAGAGAAGGCTGGGTGTTAATGTTGTCTCAGGGAGGGAACATGGATGCAGTAAGGAAGTGTAGCAGGATTACCTGGCTGTGTTGAGAGCCTTCTGAGATTTATGGTCATAAACTTGAAGTACGTCCAGCTTTTCAGTCACTAAAACCTGAGACTTTGGGATTACTTCATGAGCCTCGACCCCAAGCCATTCATCCTTAGACATTTTAACGTCATTGGCTTTTTGGTTGCTGTTGATTGTATTTGTTACTGAGTTTTAAAGTAAGTTTTCTAATGAACTTTAACATTCCTACAGAAAAGTGCAGAGACCGTGAAGGTACTGTTTGGTTAATTTTCACGAAGTGAACAACTCTTGTAACCATCACCCAGATTGAGAAATAAAGCATTACTGTATCCTGAAACATCCTCCCCAGGCCTTTTACCAGTCACTATCCCCTCCCCCCCAACAAAGGTAACCACTATTCTGACTTCTACCCACCTCAATTAGATTGTCTTGGTTTTGAACTTTATGTAAGTGGAGTCACATACTATATACTTGTTGGGTGAACAGTGCTAGACACAAAATTACGTTTGTAAGATTCTTCCATGTTGTTGCATATACAGTAGATTGTTCATTCTCATTGCTGAATAAAATTATGCATTGTGTGCATACTCCACAATTCATTGATCCATTTTCCTGATGATGGACATTTGGGTCATTTCCAGTTTAGGGCTACTGCCACAAACATTTTTTCACATGTGTTTTGATGAGCTGATGTATCCACAGCTGTTTGGTATATATCTAAGAGTGGAATTGCTCGAGCACAGGGGATGGATATGTTTGGCTTTAGTAGCTACTGCCTACCAGTTTTCTAAACTGGTTGTACCAATTTATACTCCCAGAAGTGTATGGAAGTTCCAATTGCTCCACATCCTCACCAACGTTGGTACTTTTTTTTTTTAAATTAACATATAATGTATTATTTGTTTCAGGGGTACAGGTCTGTGATTCATCAGTCTTACACAATTCACAGCACTCACCGTAGCACATACCCTCCCCAGTGTCCATCACCCAGCCACCCCATCCCTCCAACCCCCCACCACTCCAATCCTCAGTTTGTTTCCCGAGAGTAAGAGTCTCTTATAGTTTGTCTCCCTCTCTCGTTTCGTCTTGTTTCATTTTCCCCTCCCTTCCCCTATGATCCTCTGTCTTGTTTCTCAAATTCCTCCTATCAGTGAGAGCATATGATACTTGTCTTTCTCTGATTGACTTATTTCGCTTACCATAATACACTGTAGTTCCATCCACGTTGTTGCGAATGGCAAGATTTCATTTTTTTTTCCGTTGGAGGAAGTTTGTAAAACTTTATTGAGAGAATTACAACAGTGAAGTACCCTGCATAAGAGTAGTTTCCATGTTTCAGCTTGTCCTGGTTTAAATCTGGGGTAGTCCTTCACCTGCTTCTGGCATTTTAATGGGCTCTCAAAAGGGTAGACTTAGCCTCTTGACATCAGGGTCATCTTCACTTATACCCCTAGGCTTTGCCTGAAGCAGCGTCTGGAGATCAGCTTCCAGGTCCTGTCCTTGAGCCACAGGTCCTCCTTCAACTTCTTTCCCTTGATCAGGTAGAA